AATAAATTACTTAAAGAACTCACTCTAAAGCCTCAAAATATATTTGCAGAAGGCTTGAAAATTCTCTGCAAATATATTTGCAGAGAAATTGTGAGTTATTAACACACCCTTCTCAGTAAATATAACCATAAAAGCAGACCCTTCAAAATATCTATCTCTTAAGTGCATGTTTCATATTTTCCACATCTAACGTTATTTTTTTTAATATATCTTGATGTCATCACAATATTTTCCCCAAAACAGGGCGCTTTTAAATTATTCACGCTTTTAACTGATTTTTTTCTTTCAGAAAAAAATTATTTTTCATGAATAATTTAAAAACTGTTTCATTTCAAAATAATTCGTTATTTAATGCAAATTTTAATTCTCTAGTAGACTCAATTTTACTCATTTTTTATTTTACCTCTTTTTTTTTTTAAAAAAAAAAAGAAAGGTTAAAGTTCGATTATCTTGGTTTTATGGTATGTTTTTTATCTGTGGTAAAAATGCTTAAGCTTCGAAAACTCATACCATATTGCCTGTTTTGTTGTACAGTAGAATACAGAAAGTTAAAAAAGAAAGGTTAAAATTCGATTATCTTGGTTTTATGGTGTCTTTTTTATCTGTGGTAAAAATACTTATCTACGAAAACTCATACCATATTGTTTGTTTTTTTGCAAAGTAGGATACAGAAAGTTAACGAATTCCAAAGTTAAGACAGATGGGTGTTTCATAATAATCTTCTTTAACATATATTTTTAAAATCCTTAAAAAATCATCATAGAATTTATCAAATAGGCTTAGCAAAAGTAAACCAATGGAAGAAGCTTATTTTTAGGATGAAATTTGAAAAAGGTCACAATAGTAAACTTCCCAATTTGACTAAACAAATATACTGCCTTTGATGAGTCTGACCTCAATGAGAAGGATTTCGTGACTTCATTTTGCTTTTAAAATTATATATTAAAGGCAGTAATTACGACACACCTCTGTTTATTTGCTGATACTAAAATTTAACTAGCATCACATAACATCCTTGCAAAAAAGCAGTGATGCTATATTGTGGGTAATTTTTGTGTGAACTGACTTGTTAATGTCATTTTTTCCAACTAATTTTTATAGTGTGAGATGATGATGATTAAACTATATATTGAATTAAATGTGTTTGCAATTAAAGTCAAAATAAAACCTCAGCTAAGTGATACATTTAAGAAAAAATAAACAATTCATGTTTTGAATAATCTACGCATATTTATAAGCAACTAAGAAAACAGTCTCTATTTTAACATACGTAAAAAAATCAAATTATTACTTGTAAATATTAATAATATTTTAACCTTTTAACTCATGCTAAATACTAAAGACCTACTATAAAAATTACTTTAATTTTTACTGTTAGAAGAGATACTAAGCAAAACATATTATTTTTTATTTTATTTTCTTCAGTTAATGGATTAATTAATTACTCAAATATTATAAAATACTCTACGAATAAACAATATAGTATTACCCGCATTATTAAATTTCAATTAAGAAACGCTTACGTATGTTGAATAACAAAATATTTATTTCACCACTTACACTATTGTTTTTATTACTTTTTAATAGAAAAATAAACATTTAATCAGAGATTTTAATGTTTTATAATTAAAACTTCATGTTTGTCTTTCTATCGTAAAAAGTATTAAATTTACAATATTTTACGATTTTTTTTCTTCATATTCAATCCATTAAATGAATGATATTTTAAACAAACAGGCACTATACTCTTCGTTTCTTAATTTAAAATGTCATCTTGTATCAACACAACGGAATTTTTATTTCAAAATAATTAAATTATTCTAATATTTATATGGAAGACAAAATGTTTTCAGCTATTTACGTGTTTATTTTTTTTAAATTATTATTAATTTATTTGTTTATTAATTTACTTTTTTACTATTTGTATTTGTCTAATTAGAACACATTTTTTTATGCAATATTATACGAACTAACCTCAAGATTGATGCTTTAAGTGTGCGCCTTCGTAATCTACCATTTATTTAAGAAGTAATTTCAGTATTTTGTATAGACGTGAATTGAGTTAAACCTAAATTTATACTAAACCAGAGTCAGAATCAGCTGTTATGAGCCAAACGAAAACGATATTGTTCAAACTGATATAACGTTGTTATAAACAATATACGACTATAAAAAGAGAAAAGAAATATCTGGAACAATTCGTGTTCGTGAGACCTGTGTTTACCTGAAGAAAGAGAACTTCTTGTAAAGATTTAATTGATTTGTAACATAGTTTAATGGCAAAAGCTTTTCAAATGAACACGGCTTAAGCTTTTTCAAATAAATAGTTAAGAGAAACTATCAAAAATGCATATTTAAAGCTACAAAAAATTCCTGGAACACCGAAAACTATATTTATTTGCCATCTGAACTGTAACAGCTTGTTATAAGTAAATATCAAAATAGCATATCCGATATGTATACTAGAATAGAATAATAATGTAGAACTTCATAACATTATTGTCTCACCGGTTAGCAAAAAAAAAAGGACCTGCATTTGACCAAGTAGTTATCGTTAGAATTCCTTATACTCCAATCATTTCAGAATTATACTTTAATTTATTTATGTTACAATGTAATAAAAGTTAAATATAATCCACTTAATTTGTCTCACATTTATTCGACTCATTTTCTTGCTAAACTTGATCAATATTAGTTTAAAACTGATAATATATTAGCAATACTAGGCCAGACATCAAGATAACAGATATTCAACAACAAAAATTATGTCATTCTATTTGGAGTAAACTTATCTCTAACCATGATAACGATATTTTTTTTTATTAAGTCGGATTAAATCAAAAATCTAATCTCAAGGTCTGTTAGAGATTTTATTTATTTTTTTATGATATTCAATCTTGAAAACGTAATAACATTTTTATTTCAAACAAAAAGTATCCTGTTAAAAAAATTGATTTTTTTTATTTTTTAAACATTCAAGTAGAGTATTATAGTTTTTCTTAATATATTTTTATGCATATATTGATTTAATTCCATTTTTAATGAAGCGTTTTGTTAATAATAAGGAACTTACTATAACAATTGAAAAATTATAGATATAGTACTTCATTTATTAATTTAATATATCTCATTATTTACAACAAATCATACATGCAAATAGATACATATGATATATTTAAAATATATTATATATATATATTTGAAAATCACAATATGAGATACATATTCACGCAATTTAAATAAATAAAATCTCGCATCGATATTTTCATTAAAACGTTGAAACGTCCCTGTAGCAATCAATATGTAATCAATATAGAATTTTATAAAAATTGAACATTCTTGAAAAAATCCGCGATTAAAAAACTTAAAATGCTATTAATATATGTATATATTTTAATATATATATATA